TCAGGCCCACACAGATCAGGTCCGCACCGATCAGGCTCGTTCGGAACAGGCCCGGGTCGACCAGCGTCGCCCTCTCGAGACCTTAGTAGATCAGGCCCGTATCAATCAGGCCCACACAGATCAGGCCCGCACCGATCAGGATTGAGTAGAAAGGCCTGCACCGATCAGGCTCGTTCGAAACAGGCCCGGGTCGACCAGCCTCGCCCTCTCGAGACCTGAGTAGATCAGGTATTAAAGGTATATGTCCAGTACAGTGTAATGTGTGTGGACAAGGCGATTGTCACAGAGGTATCCAACCAATCGAAGTGCATACGATAACATGGATTGAAGCAAGGCGAAGGAACAAGACAGAACAAGACAGAAGGAGGGAAGTGGAACGACCGAGGTCAAGAAGGAAAATGGTACCGATCCAGGGAGATCGCTCCCATTTATAGCAGGTGGAAACACACACACACAGTGGAGACAGAGAATGGACTATCACACTGAAGACAGGTGGAAGCGATATCAGCAATCTGTTGGGACCAACAGATGCCACAACAAGATGATACACCAAGATGGTACAGCAAGATGTTACACAACAAGGTGGGACAAGGTGGGACAACATCAAGTACCAGAGGACACACAACGTGGTAAAGTGTACCGTCTCAGATTGTGCCTCTAATACTCCCCTTCAAGCTGAGAACGGAAGAGCATGTCACACAAACGACGATGGCTCGGTCCATTGAGCAGCTTGGTGAGAAGGTCAGCAACCATGTCCTTGGTCCCACAGAACTGGACATCGAGCTGGTTGCGTTCATACCTCTCTTGCACAAAGCGATACTTGACAGCAATGTGCTTGGAGCCCGGAGAGTTGGCTCCGTTTGTAATCATGTGGATCGCCGCCTGGTTGTCACTGAACAACACGGGCTTGAAGACGGCGTGTGAGAGTTCACGAACCAAATGATCAACAAACATAGTCTCGCTGGCCGCAGAGTAAGCAGCCATAAACTCGGCTTCAGCAGTAGACGTGGCAGTGACCGTCTGCAGCTTGGAGCGCCACTGCACGGGTCCACCAGCGAGGTAGACAATGCAGCCTTCACGAGACTTACGACCAGTTTCTTGAGCAAAGCTCGCATCAGTGTAGGTCGTGAGGCGAAGGTGCTGGCCAGACCGATAAGTCAGACCAAGGTCCTTCGTGCCCTTGACATAGCGGAGCAGGTGCTTGGCAGCGTTCCAATGCTCTACGGTGTAGCAGCTGGCAAAGGAGCCCAGCATGCTGACAGCGGTGGCAATGTCAGGGCGAGTGTGAGTCATGAGGTAAATCAG